AATAAAAACAAAGGGGATAATTTCGGCTTTTCTTGGGAAATTGAAATTTATGAAGCAAAACATTAGTCGGCGCGAATTCTCTCAATTTCCAAACTTGTCGCAGGTAGAATGTATTGATGAGGATATCCATACCTACAGTCAACATTTAAGTGCTCTGCATGATGACTTCAAAACCAGGTTTGAAGATATACTGACGATGGATATACCACCATGGATCATAAATCCATTTGATGAAACGGAAGTGGCCAATGTTGTATTACAAGAGGAGCTGCTCGAGCTAAGCACTAATGAGGAGCTGAAGGTGAAATTTAGAAAAGGCTACCCAACATTTTGGCTGCAAGCAGAAATACCCGAAAAATATCCTGGACTGTGGGAAATCGCAAGGAAATTTTTAATAGCTTTTCCCTCGTCATACCTTGTCGAAAGGAGTTTTAGTGCCGTTACAAACCTCTTAACAAAAAAAAGGCAAATTAAACATCACAGAGCGGGGATTTGCGAGTTATTGCTCTAAAAATAAAGCCAAACATTGATCGTTTGCTGACACTCCATCAGTCCCACATCCCTTCCATTAATTAAAATTATGACCTGAACCTATATTACCTTAATATGTTTTCTTGTAATTCTATTCTTTTAATAAATAAAGTGATATAAAATGTACCATTTTTCGTTTTTATTTTACATATCGGAATATAGGGACAGAACTCAGAAGTGACACAATTTTTATTTTTTGGCGACTTTAAGAATGTGGTAGAAATGTAGCAGCAGGGGGTCCACCGAAACCAGTAAAATTTTGAAAGTGGTCCACGAGAAAAATAAGTTTGGGAACTACTGGTTTAAACTGTGATAATATGCGACGGATCGACCAGCGCGCGTAGCCTGATACTAGACAGGAGTGGGGATGGGGAGTGCCAGCCGTATGTTATCGGATCCGGACCTAGAGGAAATAAATACGAATAAGTACGAAGACTAGTTTACGTATTGATCGGCCAGCGTGATCGTAGCCCGACGCTAGGCGGGAGTGGAGAGTGCCAGCGGTATGTTACCTGTCCCGGATTAAGAGGAACAAGAGGCACTAATTAAAAGATTACTTCACGGGAATCTATTCAGTCGGTAGATCCGAGAAATAATACAAGGCGACGACGATGGATTCGGCCTTGTCTATTGCCCCAGCCGGCGTAATTACCACAGAAAATTGTCGTGGATATATACTGTTTTTGATTCTTAGTTTTTAGGAATGTTTCATTTTAGGTCCCTAAAATTAAGAAATATCTTATAAAACGAAGTGGATATTCTGAATTTTTAGACAAAAACAAAAAGTTTGAAGTGAGGAAAAATGCGATTTTCCGCAAAACTTTCGTGTTATTTGCTCCAATTGATTTGTGATATAGTTTTTCAAAATCTGATTTGAATTTCTTTTTTAATTTTTTTTATCTGCAATAAAACTTACCTATATGTTTTTAACGTACGCAATTACACATCTTGTTATATTTTGTACATTATAAAAATTATACAGATCATACTGTGAATACTTCTGAGACTGACAAAGAAACCCATTAGCAAGCAACAGGGATGTCAATGTTAGTCGGGAACTATTGTGAACTAACGAACTAAGGCACTTGCTCCTCTCAAGGAAGTAGAATTCTCACCTCTAGTATGCACTATTAATATCTGACACCCACGTATTTCTTTGTGATTTTTTTTTACATTTTTGAAAACCCTGTACACGCTTTCTTCACCAGTAAAAGAGCGTACATCATATAACCTTTTTTTTTTCTTTTTAGCATCTAATTTTCACAATAGGTCCCCATGATGCTTGAGTAAATCCCGATTTAGCATCTTAGGCCCCCTTACTATTAAATTTTACTTGGACTTATCAATCAAGCGATTATTGTGATTATTAATGAACTGTTACTATCGATAATTTTTTAATAAATATATTTTTTACAAAGATAAATAACGATATAAAAACAAACAAAATTATGCGTTACAGGACGGTCAAAATAATTAAAGTTTAGGAAAGAACACTAAGTTGAGTTGGCGGTACAGGGTGTTCAAAAAAGTTCTATGATGTTAATTAAAGTTACGTTTATTTATTAAACACTAAAAAATTCACAAAATTAAGTACCGTAAACCGGGGTAACTTTAATTTCTAACTACATATTTTAGAAAATACAATAATGTTAGGAATTTATTAAATATATCTGATTAAAAATACATATTTTAGTATAATTTACCTAAAATTATTTAGTTTCCTCTTCAATGATGAATTTCATCCTCATTCCACTGTTGATTGTTGAATTTAATCCACCTTAGGGCATCTTCAAGAGGATGGTTGAATTGTTGAAGTGCAGCTGTCCCAATGCCATTGTTGGTAATATTCATCAAAAGGATAAATACAGGGTGTTCCTTAATGACATACTAATATTTAAAGAGGTGATTCTTGGACCTATTCTAAGAAAAAAACTTCATATGAATATATGCCCTAAACATCTTAACTTTTCAGATACAGAGTGGTAAAATTTTCCAATTTTTTTTTTCAATATATCTCCGATGTTATATTTGATACACGTTTTCCATGCATCAAAATTCGTATTTTGATATAAAAAAATTGTTTTATTTCTTAATTTCCTTCTAGCCGATGTAGAAATGATTTCCACACAACAGTCACCGCATCAGATTTTCAGTGGTTTGACCCTGAAATAAACTGACTTTAATTTTTTAAGCAAAAACTATTTGTCGGAAGAGTTAAAAAATGTTTAGAAATGAAAGATTTTGAAAATAATTTTTATTTTAAGAGAAGCCAGTGGTGTACCACTTTTTTCTCCAAAAATATTCAATGTAAAACCCGTATGAACGACACTGGTTGAAGTAAATAAAATTCTTTGCACACCAAAAAAGGCATTTTGATGCATAGAAGACGTGAATCAAGTTTCATAGAGATATCTATACTAATATATAAAATCCTTAAGTGACTGACATACTGATTAATCACAATCCTGCTCAAACCACTCAACGTAAGAAGCTCAATTTTGGCATACAGATTGATTCTAGGGTGTAGAGGTTCGATAAGAAGGGATTTTTCGAAATTCCATGTCCAAGAGGGTGAAACCACCCCTCAAATATTACAATATTTTTATTTAAAAAACAGTTAGCTTCGAAAAAACGCTTAAACACGTATATTTATTTTGTTTTACATATTTTAAAATTTTTTAAAAAAAATTATACAGAGTGTTTCGAAAAAATCTGGTCATTGATTAATCACGATCCTGCTTAAAGCGCTTGACGTAAAAAGCTGATTTTGGAAAACAGATTGACTTTAGAGATTATTAGAGGTTCGATAGAAGGGATTTTCAAACTCGAAATCTAAGGGGGTGAAGCTATCCCTCAAATATTAAAATATTTATTTAAAACAAATTGAGTTTTCGGAAAAACTCTTAAAATATGCCTTTTGTTGTTTTACATATTTTAAGATTTGTTATAAATTTATACAGGGTGTTTCATAAAATATGACCATTAAGTAATCACGATTCTGCTTAAACTGCTTGACGTTAAAGCTGATTTTTTAGCAAACGGATTGACTGTGGGTGTAGAGGTTCGATAAGGAGGGTTTCTCGAATCTCAAATTCCAAGAGGTGAAAACGCCCTTCAAATATTACAATATTTGTTGTAAAACAGTTAGTCTTTCAGGGGAAAACCTTGAACCAAACATAATTTATTAGGTTTTTATATTTTGAAATATTTTATATACAGGGTGTTCCAAGTTGGGTATTTCTTAACCGATTCTGCTTAAACTGCTTGACATAAAAGTTTATTTTTGGCAAACGGATTTTCGAAAGTCAAATTCAACGAGATGAAACTACCCCTCCGTACTACGCTGTTATATAATAATATCGCCATATTGTTTTCTCCTTTTGACATAAATGTGACAAATTTTATTGATTTAATATGTTAATGGAAATTCTTGGTTTGCTTTATCATCACCATTACAAATGATTAATTCGACGCGAACGAAGTTGCTGGTACACGCTAGTCTATAATAAAATCAGAGTTATTATGAAGAAAGCTTTTAGAAAATTTTACCACCCTGTATCTCAGAAACTAAGGTGTTTAGGTCTTACATTCATATGAAGTTTTTTCCCTTAAAATAGAAAACCAATCAATCACTGACATTAGCATGTCATTGAGACACCCTGTATACTGCCGTGAGTTATTTCCTGCAAAAATCGGAGGTAACAAAAACAATTTTTTTTATTTTATTTAATCAAAATTTAATAATTCAACAAATATAAAACGAGTTTGATATTTTTTGGCATAACACAATTGTTTTTATTAAGTCATACATATACCTAAAACTATTTTTTTTAATGTTTATATTAATAAAACATTTTTAAACATAAATTATGCAAAAAATCAGATATATAAACCATCTTTATTTTTTTCAGAGGGCTGGGTAAATCCCTTTTTAAATGACAATGGCATATAGAGAGCAAGATCCCAGAGCCGCTAAAACTTACTTATTTTCTCACAAATAAAATGTACGGAATAATAAATGTAGTATTAGTATGAGCATTGAGTGTATGCATACCTGATAGCTTAGGCTGTAAAATTCTTGTTTTTTTTAATCACCAGAATTTTTTAATACTTTACTCTATCAGAATATAAACGAAAATAAAATAAAAAAAATTGCCCTCACCCGGTCTCGAACTCGTCGGTTCGTAGTCGGAAACTCTACGCGGTTAGCTATGGAGACTCGGTCGGTTTATATTCAATACTAGAATTTAAAGGACTAATAAAAATATAGGATCTTCTTTCAATGCGCAGTAGGGACCGCAACGTTTACCGGCAGCCAGACGGGCCGCATGCTGTGCTAGAGAGCATAGTAAAGGATATATCAAAGAGCCAGACGTCTTAAATGCTTGTTTCTGGCGTTTGCTGGCTCATGCCTCTATTGGTAAGGTCTTATGCATACACACTCAATGCATGCTTTAAAATTACATACATTTTTATTTTGTGAGAAAATAAGTAAAATCTAGCAGCCCTGGGATCTTAGCCAATATGTTTTTACATTTGAAACACGTCTTTCGCGTAACTTTGAAAATATTCAACTTTTCTTAAATACTTTTTGATGTTTTCTTTCTTCTCATGCTGTACTTGAGGGAACATGTCGTTAGGAAATTGTTTACTAAAAGCTCCCTTTTCTCCAGACTGTGTATTTTTCGGTGCTTGTGCTTCCTTTAGTAAATTCTCTAGGTCAGTCAGAGCACAAAGAACATAATAATTTTTTTCTTGCGTATTAGGGCCTTGCAGAATTTTTGAGACGTCGTCCCTCATCAAATCCAAGTTTTCTGAGTCGGTTCTGATCCATTCGCTCTAAAAAATGCAACAATTTTAATCAAATACATTTAAAAGACTATATACTCTTTTTTTTCTCAGGTAAGATTTCGACAGACGATGACAGAAGAAAAGCAAATGACGTCCATACCAATCTATTTATTTTACTAAAAAAAGTTTCTAATATTTTTTGAGTTAACTATGGATGGGCTAAAAATATAAATCCGTCATGCGTCGTCTCTTGTTTTTAACCAGTTTTATTGGTTTATTTCAAAAACGACAGATCATATTTCAATTTTATTGGTTTGACGGAACGATGAACGACAAACGGGCGCCGCACGGTGGGGTATTAGCACGAAAAAGGTGATCGAAATTCGAAAAAGCAAATGTGTTTAAGATTTCCCAAAAAAAGATAAATGATAAGTTAAATCATGTCTGCCATGAATGGCGTTGCTATGGGTGTGTTTAGTTGCATTCATTCGTTTCAACGAAACGTCAAAGTTATTACTTCTCACAGATAAGAGGTAAATGGCTAAATTTATGTTTAAAATTATAAATTGTTGTTGTTCTTGTGCTCTTTTTTACGTTTATATTATTGTTTTTGATTGATGGCTCAGCAAGCTGCAGGTAAGTATTCTATAAGGCAATATTATTTATTTTAATATTCTCTATACTAACGATTTTTTTTGCAGCTAAAAGTTAGGCGTTCAGAAAATTTGATTAAATTTGTGACATTTTATTATACTTAGAGATTTAGTTGCGCATTTCGAAGAATTCAGCATATTGTCTATATACGTTTTACTTAATAAACATTGGGCTTTCATACAGTAAAATAAATACTGCGACTTTTTGCGACTTGCTGATAAAATGAGAAAAGCATTCTTGGTTTCCTCTAATTTGCCAATCAGTGATATACTAATGCGAGGTGTAAACCGCGATGGTATTGTTGTGTACAAAGCGATCGCATTAGTGCCATTAGCAGTATAGCACAATTTGGCATTAGTAGCGACTTTAGTGGTATCGGCATTGCTCGCGGATCAGTCATAGCATTAGTAGTATTAGTTGCGATATTACTACTGACTTATTATCCTTTATTTTGTTCATATTATTATATAAGGTCTACATAAAAAAATTTCGATCAACTATCTGTGTCAAATACCCCACTGTGCGCCGATGCGTATGAACTCGCCTTTAGATTTTTGAGGCTTGTCAAAGTCTTGCCAAATTATAGGTTATAATTTTGTGTCAACTTATGTCAAATATACCCTGCGTTTTGGAAGATGATGCATTTTGATTCGTGTTATTACGTGTGTTTTGTGTCTTTTGAAGTAAAGTGGAGGAAAAATCGAGGGAAAATTAACTGTAGACCCAGAGCACAGTTTATAGTTAATACTCGGTGCCCAGGGAGAAAGTCTTATACACCAATAAAGTTACCATAAATAAAGTTTGTATGCCATTTTGTCATAGATAAGTGCATCTCGTATATGGTACAAGGATCGTACTAAACATATACTAAAAACTGGAGTAGCTGTAAAATATCTACATCACCCAATAGGTAAATATTGGATTTTATTACTGCAGAAAAACAATGTCAAAAGGTACTGGTTTAAAAAAATTAAATTTAAAGTTCATTAAGCAACCTTTAAGGTATAAAATTCGGTAAGTGCTGTTATTAATAAAATAGTTTGTCTTATTTATGTTGTTATATGTATTCCTGTGGAATATTACAAATATGTATTTGTACATACTTAAGTTATATTGATAACTATAATAATAAATGCGGGAAGTTTATTGAAGCTTGAAAGTAAGAAATAGATCTTTTTTATATTTTTGGTATGTGGTGTTTTGTTCGTGTTTGTTTTGTATAACAAACAACAACAAGTAACACATGCAGTTTTTTTAAAATAAAATAACTCGAATAAATTTTGTCAGTTTTATACAGTTTTTTTCACAATATTTTGAAGTAATCACTTGTCACTCAAATTTTGCAATTTTAAATATATTAGGTCTGTTCCAACCCGCCGCAGAACCGTCACCGAACGATCACGCTCGTGCGCAGTAATTCAAATGTGTTCCAACCGAGATTTGACGGTTATCGGACGATCCTATTTGCATACCAACCTACCTTGGGATCGTTTAGTTACGATTTCAGAACGGTAATTTCGGTACATGGTCCAAATTGCGAACTGTTTGGGTTGACTTGCGCATTAAAGCATATTGGCAGGGATTATCGATTTTTAACAGCTGATTCTGGTCCGGCGTCCGGCTGGATGCTTCTGTCTTGGTTATTTTTTACGAATTCCTTACGTGTGCCTTATACTTTTGCTTGTGAGTTTGTGTGGAGTAAATTGTTCGGACATTTTAATTAATTTTTTATTTATAAAATAATGTTCAAAGATTCTACCACTGCAATGAAATAACAGGAAACTACGCATAACAGGATCATAAAAGAGAGGATAAGTAAGTTAGTTAGTGAGATACAGTTGAAACAACACTTACCAACAATTACTGGTTTCTGATTCTCCATTTCAAGAATAATAATTATTATTATTGCAAATTGCAAACAAAAATAATAGGGTTATGTTATGAAATTCTAAACAAAAACAAAAAACCGATCGATACACGCACGCTTGACACTTTTGACAGTACCGAAAACAATCCACAAAGCGTTCTAACGTTGATACTTTTTGCACCGTCACGAAACTATTCGAAGTCCGCGCATGCTAACAAAGTGCGAGAAAACCGATTCGAGTACGATTTCGAAACGATCCCGAAATGCTGGTTGGAACAAACCTATTAATTTCCTGCTATGCGTTCCACTTGTACCAACTTATTTCTTTGTAAAATAAAACAAACTACTTTGAAATTACAATGACAGACACATCTATCACTGTCAAGGATCTTGTGGTTGGACAGACTATAGGCTGTATTTCAGAAACCAAGGGGACTAGGACAAATCTGTGTGTAGCATCTTTAGTTTCATATAAAAGTGATGTGATGTAAAATCCGCATCTTTGTATCTCTACTCATAAACGAGAAACTCTATAAAAACTTACATTAATACACTCCTGTTCAACACTCTTGATGCTGGTTTCTCTATCCTCGAAATTTTGTCCTTTTTTCAGGGTTAGGGAAATGGTAGCAATCGATGCTACTGCTTCGTTGGCAAAATCAAAATATTCACCGTTAAAATATCTTACTGTAAAAGCATATGCAGCCAAAATATTAATCAAATTGTATTTCACACTATTTGCTGGAGCTTTATTCTAAAAAATTAAATTTACAAGTAAAGTATCCTACGCTTGAAAAAAAAATCGGCGTCAAAGACGGCTGGGGAATGACAAAGGGTAATAATTTTGGCGCGATCAAGCCCTATAGACGTCACTTACTTCGTCATTTTCTATAATTCGTGTTAATCTTGACAAGTTTCATGTCAATTTTTAGTAAATGACGTCTAGAGATTGACCTCGCCAAAATTATCATCGATTGTCATTTCTCAGCCGTCTTTGACGCTGATTTTTTTTCGATCGTGTGATATTTATTATATATGTTACAGTAAAAGTTGGAAGTCAGTGATTGTTACAATTGACAATTATTAGTAAAAGCTCACATTCACTGATTTGCTAAGACTACGCCAGTAAAAGTTCAACAGCTATTTTTGAAACCAACTTTTACTAGTGAATGCTAGCATTCCCTGGACGATAGCAGCGAGTTTGAAACATGTTTGAAAGATTTAGTTAGCGCGGTTGCCACATGCTGTAAAATATGAGGATAAATAAGGATAAGTTAAATAATATGCAACACAAGAATAACATTAAATTGGGCTAAACATTGGCAACGTTGACAGACATTTGGCGTAAATTCGCTTTGTTTTTTGTGGTTATGTATTATTGTTTTGCTATCATTGTAAAAAGTGCTGTGCGGTATTTTCCCTATGGAAGAAATTTTTTGTGAAAAATTAAGGTAAACTAGGCACTCGCAAGAATGTAATAGTGCTTGTTTTTCATTTTTGAGAAAAAGATAATAAGGAACCTAGTGACTATGAATTTATTAAACGTTATGATATGCTTGAAGTAGCAGGTTTGAAAAAACGAATAGCTCCCATTGAAGAAAATTCAGGCATACTTTATTTTGTCCAAGATGAAGGACAAGGTTTTTATTGGTGCAAAGTTTTTTTTAAAAAACCTTGTACTATAAGTAATCTTATGTTTATGAATGCTTTTTTTAATTGTTTTGTACACTTTAAAATGTTTACTATGTTTTCCCTTTAGAAGGTTAGAATTTGTCGTTATTTTCTATAATTTTTAATAAATATACTGAATGAAGTAAATTGTAATTTTAAGATATGTGGATCGGCTTGAATATTGAGATGATCCAATATTCTCAAAACTTTTATATGTTCTAACTTCCACCAACATTCTTTCTCACCACATTCGCATATAGAACTTGCATATAAAAATAGAAAAACTTTTACTGGCAACTTTTAGTAAATGTTACTTTCATTAGTGAATGTTAGAAATTACTAGCAAAAGTCGACAAATCTCTTTAAAATACCACATTCACTGGTCCAATGCGTAATTGCTATAAGCTATCATTTCCTATTGAATGTTAACAATCACTGAATTTCTGACTTTTACTGTAACATATACAGTACATAATATTATATACATTTTATTTTAAATAATAAAATTAGGTAATTGTGTCACCCTGTATATTAATACGAAACTTACTGTAATACTTGAGAAATCTTTGATATTTCCCGGTTTAGGGCAGTTATTTTTGAAGTCTCCCAAGCCTGCATTGATCTCGGTAACTTTGTCTTCAGAATAGAGCCACCATGGTTGCCATGAAGGTATCAGTTTACTTACATCTTCAGACCTAATATAAATGAGCAATAGATATTAAATAAATAACAAAGAAATATAGAGGAAAAATATATGATTACATACTTTAAAAAAGATACGAAATTTTGTATTTCATCTTCGGTGAGTTTTTCCCATATTTGTTCGGGATCGTCCAAATTGACACCTGGTACAGAAAAAAATTGTCTTCAAATAAAAACGGAAAACATATCTGTATTGACCAGCGCGAAAAATAGAAATTCAAAAATTTTCATGCATTTTTAAAGTTATTATGTAGTAATAATTATTTACTTAATATGTAGTAAAATACATGAATATCTTAAGGGTCTGTTTTTTGTGCTGGTCAGTGTACCTGTATATTATTTACCAGCTAATCTCTCTGCTATATCTATATAGTCTTCGTCATCCGAATCTAGGTCTTCCTCAAGATCTTCTATGTCCACAAATTGTGAAAACGGACCGATGTCATCTAAATCCACATCACTATAAAAGTTACAACCAAACTTAATCTTATGGTCTAAGAGAGTATAATTAACTATGTCAAAGAAAATGAGTATTTTTTAATATAATTTAGAAAATACCTATCTAAATCTGGTTCAGGGGCAACAATTTTGTTATTCTCATGTGTCCTCTTCAGAATTTCTAAAATTTTATCGGCCTTTGAGCTGTCTACATTATTTGAATTTAGTTCCTCCAAAACATTATCTCTATAGAAGTTCTCAGAGCATTCCATATGTTTCTCTGCCTGGTAGCAGGTGAGTGAACAATATATAATGTTACATTTTGGACAAGAATATTTTGCTAAAGCATTATCACATCTAGAAGAAAAATTGAGTATATGTATATTTATTAATTCACTTATTCTCAAAAGATATTTTAAATATGCACGCCGTAGCATGTTTTGTAAAGTAGTTAAAAGTGTAGTTTTAAAATTATCCTTCTCTAGAGTTTAATTCAAGAATTTAAATTTAAACATTCTTAAATATAGTATTTTTGTATACATCAAAGGATTATGTAATTAGAGTCAAAAAAACGATAACTTACATTTTGCACGTGTTGCTCTCATCCAGTTCGATGATTTTTGCACTAGCCATAACGGTATATCTTGGATATAATTATAAATTACATATAAAATAATTAAAATGTTAAATTTCCGTCTTATTATTGTATTAAAAAATAAATAATAACCCTCCTAAAATTTTGACAGATGATTTTTAGAATTTTAGTTCAAATGTATCAGCCATAGATTCGGAATTGAGTTGTCATATATCAATCTAGAGTATTGTTACATAATAATATATGACAAAATAATATGATCAAAGAAACGCACTTTCATTCCTTGTTTTGTTAAAGTTTTTTTATAAATAAAACACACGTTTCATGTTTAAATTTAGTTTTATTTGACACCATGTAAAACGTTGAAATGGTTAATTTTTTTAAGATTTTATGTAAATAATCCTAAAAAATGAGACTGCCTAATTTGAATGTTCGTCTTTAAAAAATTATTAGTGGGTAATAAAAATTAATATGGCACATTATAGCTAATATATTATTATTTAAAATTTATGTAAATACCTTACGCACATTCAGATTAATACATTCATGTACAAAATGACATGGGAGTATAATTTTTATTAGTACAAAAAAAAGAAAATTATACAATTATTATTTGTACTTATTTAAAAAAAAAACGTTTTTAAAGTTCAGTTACATTATCCCAAAGCATTATCGCAAAATTCTTTAAATACCAATGCCATTAATGCGTCGATCGTGTTGTCAAAAATCCTGACATTTATATTTTTAATATACCCCATGATCGAAAAAAAAACGGCGTCGAGTTGGGTTGGAAATGTCCATTGCTTTAAGTCAACTCTGCGCCGTTTTTTTCCGATTTTTTCAAAGAACTATTGAAATATCTGTCTAAATATAATTAAATATATGAACAATATAAGGCTCTATTAAGATAATAATTATATTGATATCTTTTCTAAATGTAACTGAACTATTCCATTTACGAAATTTGTATACAAAATTTAAAAAATTACAATAATTAAGTGTTCCTTATGTCATGGCAAAAAATTACCTATATATTTTAGAGAGACCGATAACAAATAAGTAAAAATATACAATGGGGTTAAAAAATATTTATACTCTCTAATTAAACTTCACACATACAGTATGACATAGAAATTGCAGCACCCAGTATATGCTTGGCTATATTTATAATGTTGCGTCGGTTGATTGCCAGCATGAAGTGTAGTAAACGATAACATTTTTTTCTGTAAATGTAGTAGAGAATGATTCGGTATTGAAACTAAAAGAATTTTGGACTTCCATTGTCTTTATTTTATCATTAGACAAAATTATATCAACTGACTCATTAGTTCATCCACCTGAGTTCCAATTCTATGTCACACGTTATATTTTGTTTTGAAAAATAGGTAGATAATATATATTCAAAATTTCTTATGACAATCTATGTATAATATAGTGCGCTAATAACAAAAAGTCAAATTTTAATCCCCTTATGTCAATAAATCATTTCTTTTAAAAAACCCTGTATATATTGCTATGAAAACGTCACTTTATATAAATTTTAAACTATATAGTATCAAATTTGTTAATGTCTTACATATATATGTAGTTAAAAAGATTCTTTCTTAATCTTAACAAAAGTCTAGAAATATATCTAACAAAATTATTTGAAAGTTAGAACATATATCAGGCAAAAACTGGAAATTACGTAGTTTTTAGCAGAGATATAGAGGTAGGGAGAGTATGAGCTTCGATGAGTGCGCATCCAAAACATTCATATGATGAGAAGTTTAGGACAAGTTACCTTAACCAGATATTTTTATTGCTATAACTCAAAAAGTAAGGGAGATACAAAATAAAGTCAAGAGATCGGTTTTGTAGAGAATTAAATTCCCTAGAATAAACAACACACAACTTTCTCGTATCTCTGATAGTTACAAAGTTACTGGCGAATTATTTTTTTTTGATTCCTGGGGTCTCAAAACGTTGAGAAAATTGTTTTTAGCCATAGTCAAATTTCGCCCTAAACCAATACTTTTCTTATCATAAATTATGAACAGTAAAAACACGTAGAGATGGTAACAATCACCTGTATACTTGAGCATGCCGAGTTTAGTGCGCCTGAGGAGCTTTGGACGAGTCTGGCAAGGTTTTCGGGATGTTCAACAGTAGCCAGACTATATTTGCAGCTGTAATTATAATATAAATTATCATCCGACAAATTTTTAGGGCTGGTCAAAATAAGGGCATACTATCCAATCTCACGGATTGGGAAAATAAGTACTGAAAATCTTCACTAGAAATATCAGCTGTTATTATTACTTATTGACCCCCCCTGTACAGGGTGTCCCACTAAGAATAGCTCTCGGCTGTATCTCGGAAAGTATTAGTCGTAAAGCTTGCGGAAAAAAATATTTATGAGTAAAGAGGCTATGAGAAATTGATGGAAATTATTTTCAAGTTTGTAGAATGGCCGCTAGAGGTCGCAACTGCTATAAAAAATAAGAAAATGGATTTTTTATAAAATTTTGCCTAGATAACTAGTACTATAAATAATAGCTTCATGATCTTCAAAAAATTTTGCATATTTTTTGTTAGAACAATTTTCCCCTATCTGCCAAAATAAAGTGGTGGGGGAAGGTTCGATCTGTTTTTATTTAAATATTAATAACTTCGGACTGGATAAACGGAATCCAACAAGCGAGGGCTTGTTTAAAAGAGCGTTTCTTACTCTATATTATACAATATAAACGATAATAATAAGTTTTTGAATGTAGACGCTACGGGGCGCGGACATACAATTTAACAAACATTGCGCGTTTTTTTTAAATTAAATACGATAGTATATGTAATTTTAGCTGATGGTAAAGAGTAATAAAAGCTTAAAAAGTTAGCGAAAACCGCATTTTGATATCCTCTTTCCAAACGAAGATATTAGCAAAATTATCATAAATACCAAAAAATAAGTCCTTAATTACCTTATTTTTACAACACGGTATCAGTAGCCCTCTTGATTATGCCCATTCTAACAAAAAATAAGATAGAAACAGTTAGTTTATTTTAAAATCGATGAAATACCAGAATACCATAATACCAGATGTATTAATGTCTAATATAATTAAGATATTAATAACAGTGAACAAGAAACGATGATTCAGTGAAGTCATCGTAGACTTTGGAAAAAACTTGCTTTGACGTAATAGTATAAACGTCAAATTGTTATTAGATCAACAATTTGAGCAGCGTTTTTAAGATATTAGCAAAATTATAATAACTACGAAAAAATAAGCCCTTAATTACATTATTTTTATAACACGGTTACAGTAGCCCTCTTGATTATGACCATAATTCTAATATAAAATAAGATAAAAAAGATTATTTTATTCAAAAAATCGACAATGTGCCAGAATACTATAATACTAGGTGTATTAATATCTCTTAAGTTATTAATATTTAAATAAAAACAGATCGAACCTTCCCCCACCACTTTATTTCGGCAGATAGAGGAAAATGGTTCTAACAAAAAATATTCAAAATTTTCTGAAGATTATGAAGCTATTTAGTACTAGTTATCGAGGCAAAATTGTGTAAAAACTTGTTTTTCCTATTTTTTATAGCAGTTGCGCCCTCTAGCGGTCGTCCTACAAACTTGAAAATAATTTCCAGCAATTTCTCATGGTCTCATTAGTGATAAATATTTTTTTCCGCAAGCTCTACGATTAATACTTTCCGAGATACAGCCGAGAGCTATTCTTAGTGGGACACCCTGTACACCAACGCACCTTAAGACATAAGAACATTTTTGGATGCGCCCTTTGTAGAAGCTCGCTATTCCACACCCTTATATCTCTGGTTTGTGTAAGAATATTTTAATAATTTGATGATATGAATTTTAAAAAACGAGACACGTTAACCACAGAACCGTTAGAAAATTTACGCTGTAAGTTTATACGTTCATTCAAATATAATTATTATATATTTTTAATAGAATTTTTTAATAAATAGATATCCATCTAAAACAGACTCAACAAAAATATAAAAAATATAAAAATATTTACAATAAACTTTTATCTAGCTAGAGCTAAAAATTATCACATATAAAACATTTTTTAGCTTAAGTTTTACTTATACATATACTTGATACTTGACGTAGGTAATTATTATATAAACTTAAAACTTTATATACAACTAAAGTACATGATTTAAAAGTCAATGTACTATTTTTTGCTTGTTGATTGGGAATAATTATTAAGATGTACAGGGTGGTTCGAACTGTATTCCGGAAACTTCGGCAGCATATTCTGCACATAAAAATAAGTGAAAAAGTTTGTATAAACTTATGTCCTAAAATACTTCCTTTCTGAGATACACATTACACCCTAAAAGTTTCATTTTTATTTCGAATTTTTCGAAATAAGTTTTGAACTAATGTGGATATTTGGATGAAAATTGGTATTTGCCTTAAATACCTTTTGTTTTTAAATTTGTAATAAGTAAGCAAATAACTGAAATGACGCCAGTTACTAATTTTCATCCAAATACTGAATTTAGTTCAGAAATTATTTGGAAAAAATCGAAATAAAAATGAAACTTCTACACCCTGTATCTCCGAAACGAAGCATTTTAGGACACAAGTTTATACGATTTTTTTTACTTATTTTTATCTGCAGAATATCCTGCGAAGTTTCCGGAATACAGTTCGGACCACCCTGTATATTATGCTAATTTTTTTTCAAAATTCTTAAATGTTACTAGTTAAATGCCAACCGAGTGAGACGATATTAGTGTTACATAATACCGTATCGAAAAAAAAAACGGCGTCAAATACGGCTAAGGAAAAAGAATCGATGATAATTTTGGCGAGGTCAATCTCTATAAAACTCGACACTAATAATTATAGATAGCAATAATAGCGGTAAACCGTTTCCAGGCACACAAATATTTTCAAAAAACTATTTTTCTCGAATTTTTAACTGAAACCATTTAAAAATCATTTTTGCTCATTGATTGTCGTTTCCCAGCCGTCTTTGACGCCGTTTTTTCTTCAATCGTGTGGTATAAATCAGTGTAGATCGAAAATTATGGAAAATTATGCACAATACGGGGTGTTTTAAAAAACATGTGCCATTTTTCGTGGGGAGATTCCTCACATAAAAATAAGA